AGTAGTAGTAGTAGTAGTAGTAGTGGTAGTAGTGGTAGTAGTAGTTGTTGTAGTAGTAGTAGTAGTAGTAGTGGTGGTAGTGGTAGTAGTAGTAGTAGTAGTAGTAGTAGTTGTTGTTGTTGTTGTTGTAGGTGGTAGTAGTAGTAGTAGTAGTAGTAGTAGTAGTACTAGTACTAGTACTAGTAATAGTAGTAGTTGATGTTGTTCTGTTAGTAGTAGTAGTAGTAGTAGTAGCAGCAGCAGCAGCAGCAGCAGGAGTAGTGGTAGTAGTAGTCGTCGTCGTAGTAGTAGTAGCCGCAGCAGCATTAGTATGGTCAGTAGTAGTAGCAGTAGCAGTAGTAGTAGTAGCAGCAGCAGCAGCAGCAGTAGCAGTAGCAGCAGCAGTATTAGTAGTAGTTGTTGTTCTTGTGGTGGTGGTGGTACTAGTACCAGCCCAAGAGCTAGCATCAGTCGCTGCATTAGCCGTAGTAGGGATAGCCCTGTTATAGTTATTCCGTTAAGAATGTGAGGAACAGACGAACAGCATCATATACATCCTAGCTTGCATCGCAACAATTGTTAATACCTATCCCCCTCCTCATTAATTATCCATTTATCTAGCTAGTCAGGAATACTTCATGTTTGGCATCTGGGGCCACAAGCTGTTGACCAAGCATAGCTGTAGACAGGAGCTGCTCGGAAGGACCAAAGCTGCCGAGCCCCGCAGATCCTCCTGCCCGGGGGTGTCCGTCCAAGTTTCAGAGAACGTAGCGGAACGGAACAGAGACTCAGATTTCGCGGTTGAAGCGTCACCCCTGAACGTCACAACACGACCGCGGGGGAAACCAGCTATATACCTGTAGCAATTTTAGCCGCAAGTTCACAGCCTACGGCATGTGCGGCACACCTCAAGATGGCCTGCGATTTCGATTGGGACGGTCAGCATGACTCTACTCGCCTGCTGAAGCACGAGGCGTGTCATGCATCTTGAATCCAGCAGCGCTGTACGACCCAGGTCTGCACTGCTCACTGCTCCTGGATCGCCCCTGTGGCAAGCACCTTTGGATAGAGGCCCATCGTGCAACATTGCCAGAAGCCTTGGCAAAAGTCAGACTTGAACCTCGAAAGTGTGCGGACTAAGTTCTGAAATCATACACCACATGGGACGTTGCCTAGCTCACTTGCCCTTTGCCAAGCGTCTCTTGCCCGCGTTGGCGGCCGACTTCTGGATCAAGGTCCTGGGCTTGTTCCAACGTGGGACATTCCACATCTGGAGAAGGGAAACTTATGTTCAGCAGATTTCAGCTGCCTGGGAGAAAGGCTCAGAACATGCAAGCGGCGGCTGTCGCCAAGCACTCCGATGAAACGAGCTCAAGGCTGTGGCTCGCAGAATCAACTAAGGTGTTCTAGGTTGCTGTCGGGGCTCCACCAGGCCTCTACCATCATCTGCGTCCTGCAGGACGAGCATGGCTTGACCAAGCTCGGGATCAAAGGATGCCGGTTGCATGTTGTCACTTGGGCCCGAACGCTTGCCCCGAAGCGCTCGCCTGGACTGCATCACAAAAAGGCTGCCGTTAGGCAGAAAAACCCTTGTCAAGAGACGTCAAGAGAACAAAGTCGGGCCTGGAAAAATCTCGCCAGCCAGGTTGGAACGAACATGGCCTGGGAAATGCCAGACGAGGGAAGCTTTCCGCAATCAACAAATCAACAAACTACTCGGCGCATTCGGCACTGAATCGTTAACGCTGTGGTTCACAGAGGTGAATTCATCAGAGAGGCTGTTCCAGTCGTCATCTCCACAACTGCTGCCAGCACTGCTCTTCTGCGTGGCCTGGCCCGGGCGGCGGCTCGCACAGAGGCCCAAGCATTTGGAGTTCGAGAGGCATCGGGCCGAGCGTGAGAGGACCCACGCACGAGATTCGACACACACACACACTGGGGGAGACTGCCTGTCAGAGGGAAGACAGGTGCGTATGCTCCAGTCAAGCCAAGCTTCGGTGTATTCAGTGGTATCTGCGTCGTCGTCCGCCTCTTTGTAGTAGGCCTGCATTGGTCACGTAGTGGGCAAAGCTGGAACCTCTGGCTACGCTGCTTTGAGGCGGCGACGGGCCAAAGTCCGCACGGGCTAGGGGTAGATGGCTTCCAGGCATCCATCATCGGTCTGGGATATCCACACCAGAGGCTTGAAAGAGTTCCAAGGTTTCACGCATCGTCTTAGACGGCTGGTCCGAGGTGCTGAGGTGTCTTGAGGAATCTTGAGGTAATGTGTGACGGGCTCACGACATGCACTTGAAATCATACAAGCTGTGGAGGCAAAGCTGCAGTTCCCCCAAACCGATTACAGCTGGGTCTCATGTTGTCGCAGCCCTGGAACATCCCATTGGCAGGCCCGAGCTGTAGCCTCAAAAGAACAGGCCAGGCATGCAACAAAACGAGCACTGATCTCCTACGGTGCTGAGCGCGACACGGGGGGAATATCAGCTTCGGTTGTTGTACCATCAAAGGTCCTGATACAAGCTGCCGGCACGACTTGCGAAACACCCGCAAAAACACCGTAAATGCACCGCTCTAGCCTGGGTGATCTCCATACTTCATGCTACAGCTCGTTTTACCAATTGCCTTCTTCGCCCCAGTCGTTGCAAGAAGAGCTCCACATGGTTCAACGGCTGACAGGTCCTGGGTATCAAGATGAACAGCAACTCGAGCTCGGCGCGGATTGGATTAGTGCAGCCAAGTATCAATTTGCACCAGGCGTCCGGTTGTCAACTGGCTGGAGCCGACACCACGCCGAGTGGAGAGGAAGGTTTCAGACGGGGCGAAAAACATGTTCCAGAAACGCAGCTTGCAAGATACACACGTGCTGACAAGAGCTGGCTGTTGCAAACTTTGCCCGGCGACGGCCAACTACGGAGCACAAACAGCCCCTTCTGTGAGAAGTATTAAGCACTTACCGGCTCTGCTATGAGCTGTGGGCTCCAGACAACCGCTTACATGTCAGGTGGTGCTTCACTGTTCACTGCAGGTGTCAGCGAAGAGCCCACAAGAAACCGAAACGAAATCCTACAGGAAGAGATCAGGCCATGTTCTGGACAAAGAGGCACGGATCAGCTCCCGCACGGAGGCATGTAAACATGTCGCGACTGAGAACTCCCGTTCAGAGTTCAGGCACACTGTATCTATTGATTCTTGCTCTTATCAACGATGTGCCCGGTCAGCTCTCTGATGGTCGGATAGTCGAACCTGCACTCTGCTTGGTAGTCTGTGCCCACCACAGGGTTCTAACGAGGCCCGGGCGTGAGCGTTGAGGAAAGGCCGAGCCTGTCTCGCCAATGTGCCGACTTGACCAACCATCCCTCCCCTCAAATAGAAACCAAGGAGCCCAGAAAAGGCTTGGTTGACCTGGCTCCTGAACTCGATGCTCATCAAGCTGTCCTTATTTAGCTCTGGCGCGATGCTGCTGTTCACTCTCTCTCACCCCCCCCAAAAAAACATAGTCTCTGTTTTTGTGCAGTGTAGAAATGACGCAAATACGCCTTGTGTTCGCAAAAAAGGTCCGCCCCTGTGCCTCTGTCCTCTACTACCTTACCCCCTTCCCATACCCCACCCCCTACCCTACCCTACCCCTTACCGCGCACCTGCCCCACTCCTCAGCCACCCCGCCAGCCTTCCGGTATTCACTCCCGCCTGCACCCTTACTTCTCAACACCCTCTCTGCCCGGTACCCTTGGAGCAGCATCGTCATTCGTAGTTCCCACAAGCCTCACTGAGCACGCGCTTGGCCCATTGGTTTAAAGGCGTTTCGGGTTATGCGTGACAACACTGCAGAAAGGGAGCCTTTACCGACATTCCTGACTGGTGCTAGCGGTTCAGGGCTGGCGCAGCGGAGGAACGAGCATCGCTGTGTCTTCGAAACTGCCTAGCAACTCCCTCTGGCCCAGAGACTTCCAAATGCTGTCGTCAAAGATGGTGGGCACACTTTCCGCGTGATCACGAAAATCCGGGCTCCCATCGCGCACCATTTCCAAGACACTGAACATGAGTACTTAGTCTAGGCTCCTGCCAAATTACTCTCTGACAGCGAGGCCAGACCCTGGAACCACCACTTCAGCTCCTAAGCCGGCTTAGTCACTTCCAGGAGTTATGTAAACCATGCCAGTCCTACCCCATCTGGACCTTCCCAGTATATCGAGTCCCTCCCTCTCGTTCACTGGTGGTCTCACGAATATCCTGCACAGGGGCAGTTTCAGCACGACTGGCAGGCTTTCGATCTCACACTGAGAGCTTATACATATACATCTGCGCATTGCCAATGTAGTTTGAACTTGTGGATGCCAATCCCCGCTCCGCGAGCGACGACGTCCAAGGGCAGGGCTACTCCGGCATCCATCAAGGGAGTATCAGATTCCTGCAAGCGACATCCCACAAAGCAAACGTAGAAGCTTGTGTAGGAAGACTCTTTGGCAAGAAGCGGTCCATGTCTGAGCCCATCATTTCACGGAGCATGTTGTGCAACATGTCGCTGACGATGGCTGGCTCCAGGCCTGACTCGACGTCTTGGAGACCGGAAAATGCCCATTTAGAGCTTCGCATAGCTTTGCGGGCACTGAGGCAGCATCCCTTCGGCTTCTCCTCCTCAATGCGGGACTCGGCTGGCCTGAAGCGGAAACATGCCGAGTTGAGGCACAGGTAGCTCAGTTCGGTCCGGTCCTCAGGTCCTACCGAGGCACCCACACCTCCTGAATCTCTTCTTCTTCCTGACGCAAGACTTGCAGTGTGGGCCGATTGCCTTCTTGCCAGACAATGGCCTGGCCTCTTCCTGGACATACCTGGGCTGACTCACCTGGGTCGGCTGGACGCCCATCTGCTGGCCTGGCACAAAGCGTCCAAAAAGCAGCTGCTACCACCACCACCATGACACTCGCTGCCTCCCTGCCACCGCCATCACCAAGACATCATCACCATGCTCACCAGTCACCATTGCCACCTTCGCTATCGTGCCCCCGTTGCATTCAAATTCATCATCGTACCACGATGATCAGAACCACAACGGTCACAATCACCGTGGGTCGCAACCTTCATTATCTTGCCACCTTCGCTATCGTGCCGCCGTTGCATTCAAATTCATCATCGTACCACGATGATCAGAACCACAACGGTCACAATCACCGTGGGTCGCAACCTTCATTATCACCATCTGCCATGCTCGAGGAGCGAACGCGAAGGTGAACATGTCTTCAACTCGAAAGCAATGCTGCTTGACTTGCATCGGTCTTTAAGCACACCACAAGCAGGACAACACATTGACAGTCTGAAAATGCCATTGGAGACGCACCCTTAAATCAGGTCACATGTTCATGCAGGGCGACGGCGGTGGAAGGAGGATCACATGTGGTTCCACCAATAGACTGCATAGCCAGCATCCAAAACACGCAAAGAGTATCTCAAAGTTCAAGTCAAAACATTTGTGAATACCTCTGTTACAATGACGTGGTTTAATATGACGGCAAATCCGGAGCAGATGCGCTGCTTATGTCGAAGGCAAAGATCGAGTCGAACACAACCTATCCCCTCGCCGACTCTTTCGAGCCATGCCTTGCATCACTTTGTCCAGAATCTCTTGAGCCTCCGCGAAGCAAAACCGGTCAGGCACTGCCCATGTCTGAGTCCGAGGACCAGGCGAGAACTTCCAAAGGCTTGTCATCCATAGCCTCCAGCCAGCACATGTGTGATTTCGTCACAGCCACTGGGGTGTACAGTCATCGCGCCTTTGCCATGCTCACTGCCTCCTGTGCAGCAATCAAGGCTTCGTCGTTCTTACCGCTGACCTGCAGCAAAATTAAAGGACACCCAACCAGCAAGTGGATGCATGTTGATTGCCTGACTCCGGCTGTTGCCAAGGTTCCGGCAAGCAGAGCCTGCGCTTTCATGTTCACCTGCAGACTCTCATAAACCTACCTGCATCTTCACACAGCTCTCGGGCGGCCGGCGAAGGTACACTCGCCAAGCTGGTAACCTTGACTCTAGCGGGTGGAAGATGCCGTGGCCAAAATGGCAACATGTAAGCCAAGTACCCACATCTTGGTAGATCTTGATGCCCTCGTCGGCACCATCCAGAGCCTCTCGACAGCCAGCAAGGCATTCAAACATACTATGAATTCTGGCCACGACCCTGGGTGCTGCAACCGACCCGCCAAACTTGGTTTAGGCCCAGAATCTTCAACTCACGCGAGACGCATGCTCCCGCTGCAAGGGTTGAAGCAAGATGTCATACGGCAAGAATTTTTCACGCAAGGCACTGTGAAACATTCAGGTGAAGTCTGAAGAGTGTTGCCACGTAAGGTTTTTCATATCATCAAGCAGCTGACAGGCCTCCTGATACCTGCCGCTGACCAGGTTGACTTCCGACAAGGCGTAGAAGCAGTCAGCTATGGTCTCAGTCACATATTTTCTGAGGCGAGGGCAGTAGGAACTACGGCAAATGCTTTGCCGGAATGATGGGCTAGAATGAAGGCTACAAGAAACAGTGTAGTTGCAGTAGAACATTCGCAGAACGCACGGAGCGTTGAGGGCTGCACCTGCTGATGGCCCAGCTTATCTGCTATTCTCTTTGCCTCAGCATACGGCACATCTTGACCGCACGAAGTGCCCGATCAAGAACCGCATCCAGAAATAACTCAGAAATAAAGTCATGCGTGCGATCCCGGCAACAGGAAACCAGGGGAGTGGTCACAATGCTAGTAGCTAACAGTACCACTACAGGTATGACATACTATGATACGGCAGTGACCTGCTCGTGACATTCCCGAACTTGGCACACTTCACATGACCGTCCAGCTCGAAAAAACCATATTGGAAGCAGGCATCGAAAGACTTACTCGTGCATAACAACACAGCACTGCTGGTGACGACCATGATGCTGGTATAGGAAGCAAGTTACCTTCCGAGACTGCTTGCCCTAAGGATGTCAGAAGCGTTCTAGAAGCCGAAACAGGAACCAGGCACATGGTCGTGTTTGGATGCGCTCCCGCTGATTCGCCCTCCTTGGATTCCTCTGCGAACCGCAAAGAAAAATATGCTAAACTATACTGAAAAACTAAAGTATAGTATTAGCATAGTATAGCGGGGAGTTGTATTAATAGAGGATACTGTAGCATAACATCAAAGAGGGAACTCCAGACATCAGAAGACGAGGCCCTAGCAGCTATGCCAGCTTTCTCTGCCTCAGTCTGAAGGGCGAACAAGCGCTGTCCTTGCGCTTCCTCTCTGTATGTTTGTATTTATGTATGTATGCA